CCTTGAATCCATGCTATAATTGCTACATGCTTATTTGATTTATGTGACTTAATTGCTACTTGACATTTAGCATACTAATTATTAAATTACCTATTTCCTCCTTAATTTTCACAATTAATTGCTACTTGTCATCACTTATTTCTAAATAAATTATAATTATTGTATGCTTGTTGTCTTATAATTTCATATTAATTATTGCATTTATTGGAGTAATTTCTTTTATAAGTATTGGTAAATTATATTATTTGAGGAGCGGGTTGCACGTCGCAACAAAAAGAAAAGTGAATATATTGGAGGACCGGTTTGCACGCCGCAACAGAATTGATTGAAATGAATATATTGGAGGAGTGGGTTGCACGCCGCAACAGAATTGATTGAAATGAATATATTGGAGGAGCGGGTTGCACGCCACGCCGCAACAGAATTTTTTGAAATGAATATATTGGAGGAGTGGGTTGCACGCCGCAACATAATTGATTGAAAGATATATTGAGGATCGGGTTGTACGCCGCAACGAAATTAAATAAAAATGAATATATTGTGGGATAATATGAATATATTGTGGGATCGGGTTGCACGCCGCAACGGAATTGAATGTGAATATATTGTGGGATCGGGTTGCACGCTGCAACGGAAACTGATTGAAATAATAATTAGTTATGACTGCCGAGTTGGCTTCAACTGTTGAAATAAGATACATGTTTTATTTCTATTATTGTTATTATTATTATTATTATTATTATTGCGTACAAGTTAAAGTAAGTGACCTGCCTTAGCCTCGTCACTACTTCATCGGGGTTAGGCTCGACATTTACTCATACTACACTCTGCACTTCTTGTGCAGATACCGGAGTTGGTCCCAGCGGCGTATAGCATATTTGCTAGGATTCAGCTATTCGCAGGAGACTTGAGGTATAACTGCATGACGTTCGCAGTTCTGAAGTCCCCTTCCACTTTATCATAGCTGTGTATTTCTCTCAAACAACTTCATTTTCATTCATACCTTTATTTGCATTATTCTAGTAGCTACGTGCTTATTTGATTTATGTGACTTAATTGCTACTTGACATTTAGCGTACTAATTATTAAATTACCTATTTCCTCCTTAATTTCTACAATTAATTGCTACTTGTCATCACTTATTTCTAAATAAATTATAATTATTGTATGTTTGTTGTCTTATAATTCCATATTAATTGTTGCATTTATTGGAGTAATTTCTTTTATAAGTATTGGTAAATTATATTATTTGAGGAGCGGGTTGCACGCCGCAACAAAAAGGAAAGTGAATATATTGGAGAAGCGGTTTGCATGCCGCAACAGAATTGATTGAAATGAATATATTGGAGGAGCGGGTTGCACGTCGCAACAGAATTGATTGAAATGAATATATTAGAGGAGCGGGTTGCACGCCGCAACAGAATTGATTGAAATGAATATATTAGAGGAGCGGGTTGCACGCCGCAACAGAATTTATTGAAATGAATATATTGGAGGAGCGGGTTGCACACCGCAACAGAATTGATTGAAAGATATATTGAGGATCGGGTTGCACGCTGCAACGGAATTAAATAAAAATGAATATATTGTGGGATCGGGTTGCACGCCGCAATGGAATTGAATGTGAATATATTGTGGGATCGGGTTGCACGCCGCAACGGAAATTGATTGAAATAATAATTGGTTATGACTGCCGAGTTGGCTTCAACAGTTGAAATAAGATACCTATTTTATTTTTATTATTGTTGTTATTATTATTATTGCATACAAGTTAATGTAAGTGACCCGCCTTAGCCTCGTCACTACTTCATCGAGGTTAGGCTCGGCACTTACTAGGTACATGGGGTCGGTTGTACTCATGCTACACTCTGCACTTCTTGTGCAGATACCGGAGTTGGTCCCAACAGCGTATAGTAGATTTGCTCTAATTCAGCTATTCGCAGGAGACTTGAGGTATAACTGCATGGCGTTCGCAGTTCTGAAGTCCCCTTCCACTTTATCATAGCTGTGTATTTCTTTCAGACAACTTCATTTTCATTCAGACCTTTATTTGTATTATTCTAGTAACTCTTGCACTTGTGACACCAGTTCTGGGATGGTATTTAGACATAGCTGTTATTATAGATTATTCACTCTATTTCAGACTTTGTTTCCGCATTTGTTCCTTTGTTATTAATTAATTAATTTAAAATTATTTAAAAATGGCTAATATTATTCTAACGTTGGTTTGCCTAGCAAGTGAAATGTTCGGCGTCATCATTGTCCCGAAGGTGGAAATTTTGGGTGGTGACAATTTTCAAGAAACCGACCAACTTCGGTTGGTTTTCCAATTATATTAGTATTCAGAAAATCGACCTATTTTGGTTAGTTATTTCTGTCAGTCATTTTAAAACAACGACCAATTTAGTTTGGTAATTTTATTTTTTTTAATAAAATCGATCGAAATTGGTCAGTTATTTTCACGGAAAAATACGATTAAAGAATATAAATAAGAAAGTTTTAAATCGAAAGCACCAATTGTAAGTATCCTGCCACAGTACAAACCCCAATTTGAATTCAGATGATGCATTTTTTAATGACATAATTTTAAAAAATCGACTGAAATCGATTGGCCTTTTTCTTTTAGGTCGGGTATGGAATTTAATGGACCGATGAAATCGGTCAGTTATGACCGACCTACTGATTTTCGATTGTTTTGAACGAATTTCTAGTAGTGCTTAGTTACACGCATTATCACCACTCTTAATTATTTGATTTCTTCGAAACTAAGTTTTGACCATAATTATTTATGTAGACTAGTCCAAAAAATCTCCAAGTTTAGATGAGGAACGACTAATTATTATATCGTTTACAGTATGTTGTCACTAGAAAACACTAAATAATGCAAAGAAAGTCGTATTTTACTTAAATGTAAATACGAGTAAATATATTAAATATAAAATGAGAGGCTAAGGTCCATTTGTTTGTTTTATTTCTTCGCTTTATTGTGAATTGCTTGGTCAACTACATATTGATTGATAACTTGAATAACTTGCATCATCAAATTGAAATACATCATGAAATATTTTAACCTTTGGAATTATATAAGCTCCGTTACATCACTTTTTGTTTAATATTGAGTGTTGACACTAAATCAATTTGATTTGACAAGTGGAAGGAGACGAGCGAGTCAGTGAGGAAGGCTAATATAAAGGCAATCACAGTGTGAGGAGAAGAAAACATCTGAACTCCAGTTTAATATTTTCTGAAAATAAAAACAGAAAGGAAAAGGGAAACTGTAAGAAAACTGGAGTAGCAAAAAAGAAGAAAGGAAAAAAGAGAGAGGAAACGAATTTTGTATGAATAAAAAGGAAATAAAACTGTACACATAAGAGAAAGGGAAAAAGTAAGAAAGTAAGACCTTAAAGATTTCGTGTTCCATCATTTTGACATGTTAACTAAAGACTACTTCCCCGGTTCCATTGTATCGTTACACTATTTTTTTTATTAGTCTGTTATAAAAAAAAGTCAATTTTTATTTGTAAATAACTAAATTTAAATTTCTTATTTTATCGTAATAGGATGCGTTTATAGACTCAAAAATTTCGTAACATGCTTAAGACTAGCCACAAATTTTAGTTCTTTCTTTTTTGAGTTCCTACCTAGTCAAACACTGCCATATATGTCGAAATGCAGGAATATAACTTTGTGAACATGAGTATTAAACATGTTTTTCTAACATACTTTGTGGAAGAGAAAGAGACATCAAGGTTTTGGCCATGCACGTTGAAATGAAAGGATTGATAAGAGCTAATTATTAGCCATTTGTTTCGACTATATTAAGTCATGGGGAAGAAGTAGTAGGGGGCAACAACAATGAATTGATCATCATCGTCCAAAAACACACACAAAAAATTAAAGAAAGATAAAAAATAAACAAATAACTCTAACAGAAAAGGTGTTGCATGTGAAGTGTTGTAGTACAATTTGTACAATGACCCCCACAATTTATGTCAGGCAACTTGCTCTCAAACTTTGTTGAAAAATAGAAGCATTGCGAGTGAAAAATAATAATTCTGTCCTTCTCTATAACCTTAACTAGATAAACTGCTAAGGCTAATGAAATGCAGTCTATGAAAAGTTACACATCAGTCTCATGGATTTCCACAACTTACACTACGTACTGAGGATTCTGCCTTTCTTTGTCTCGCCATATTATTGTTTGTGCATGTTCTGTGGACGACAGGCTCAAATAATCTACGCATATGGACCACCCACAAGCTTGTCGCTCTCTCACTCTCTCTTTTGTTTTGTAACTTTGTCCGTAGTTGGGCATGTAAACAAAATTCTATAATATTGATAGCTGAAAAGATTGAGTATATACATATAAAGTGTATATATTCTTAATAGCACGAGACTTTTTAAGTAAGATCGTATGAACTTGACTCAAAACGGATAATATCGATGAGACTATGTTAAATATCTTTGGGCTAACTTGTGCCTTGTACCCGTATAATTAATGAATTTGACGAGAGTTTGTGTGATTGTGTCCCATGCATAGTTGGGCTAAATCTCAATCTGGTTCATCATATATATATATATATATATATATATATTCGGTACACATATATTAATATTCTTTTGAATTATACTGAGTTTGTGCCAGTAAATTATTTCATCAAAGTTAACACCAAATCATGCATTCTAGTCTAAGTTATTATGAAGGAGATCTAGAGAGGTCATAAAGAGAAAGTATGACAATCAGGACACATAATAAGAATAAAGAAGCGCAAGAACAAGAAATAAACATAACACCACCAAGATGTGCGGCGGAGCGATTAAATTTCATCCACTTCAATTAGAAGTCTCGAATTTAAACTTTGAGAATGTACATGGTAGCTTTAGATTCCACCCACTCTCCACATGAGAAACAAATCTCTCACTTTGACTAAGTGGTAATTAAACACGCTCCATTAATGGTTGTTTATTTACCACTCTATTAGTGCCGGCCATCAGAAATCTAATTATTTTATCCTTTCAAAAGACAGAATTGGATCAATGGGACTCAGACGAGGCATTAATTACACTTTCTATCACGTACTAAGTAAAAAGTGAAATACATGGTCGGGGTAGGGATATATATTGAGAGAACAATAATTATCTAAAGTACAATAATGACTTCATATATGCTTTCGTACCATAAGACGAAGCATTTACTTACACAATATTCTTGCCTCCGATCCACCCCACTTTTTTTTTTTATTAATTTTATTTTACTCTTAGTTTTCTAAATTTCATTTAGCAAGAAATCATTGAGCAAACTCAGCCTCAAACAGTAGGGGATCACGCCTCCTCCTAATCTTGGCCGGCATTATGCAAGCTCTTGATTTTTCTCGACAACCCTCACGTCTTTTGCAGATCGAAGCAGATTAGCCTGTAAAATTGGTGAAATGCCAATTATAACATTGAGAATATATAACAGAAATTTTTTGTGTAACCATGGTGTTCGGGCCAGCTTGCAAGTATCTTGACTAAAAATAGTATTCAAATACCAGAACATCTTATACACCAGAAAATAGTAACAAGTAAAAATGTGTGTTTGGCATGAATGAAACATTTCAGAAAACAGGTCATATTCTGACAATCAAAAACAAAAATATATTTTACTTATAAGTCGTGGGTTCAAGCCGCGGAACCAGCCACTAATGTTTGCATTAGGGTAGACGATCTAAATCACACTTCTTGAGCGTGACCCTTCCCAGGCCCTAGATGCTTTGGTGCACTAGACTGACATTTAGTCGATTTAAAATAGTTTTTAAATTTTAGAGAGACAAAATTTCTTCTGTAAAATTGAAGGTTTTCTGTTATAGCAAACAGTCGAGAGATCATAAAAAGATACCTGATGATCTGTCATTTCTACAGCAAAGCCATCAACAATAACTAATGACATTGTCTTGTTGTAGCTGCCTGGCTCAAGGGTGTTTTCTAACAACTCATCATGTTTCTTGCACAAGTACAGATCAAGCTCTTGTGTTCCCTTCTTCGTTCTATGATATAATATTATTTATGTCATTTTCGACAAATTAGTAAAACTAAGAACATAGTTTGTAGAAAATGATTTTACATAAGATAAAAGGATGATTATATATAACCTGTTGGATTTAAGGCGCTCGTATTCTGGATCATAGTTCATGAAAACAAAGTAAACTTCTCTTCTACTTGCCATTATCACCTCACTCTCTCCTTCAACTTCAGATTTTTCTCAATAGAAATGTGGTTGAGGAAATATAAAGCTCAAGAAGTGGCTATTTATACAAAAAGAGCAAGTAGATTTTGGTAACGCCAAGGATTTTCTAGCTCACTTAAAGTAGCAAAAATAGTAGTGGCTTTACAAGGAGAAGAAAGTTTTGACGCGTGGAGAAGTGGATTTACTAGTTACTACTCAATAGTAATGGCAACTAATTAGCTATGAAAAAAAATATACGGTCAAATCTCTCTATAATAATCTTGTTTATTCCGATATTTTTGGGATGCTATAGTGCAAAGCTGTTATAGAGGATATATATAACATAACATAAAAATCGATTTCGAAAAAAACTTGACTTTTATAGTGAATGACTGTTATATGCAAATGTTGTTATGGAAATGTCTGACTGTAGTAATAGAAATAAAGGATTTAAATAACCAATACCAAAAATGTATGTCCATTTCGGAGTAGCTAAAAAAATTAGATTTAAGTTATATACATGAATACTATAATAAAGATTTCACATCGTTAGTGTAATTTAACTTATAATAATATCATGTTATTTTTTATTTATTTTAGGTTATCTTTTAATGCTATTCCATTTGTCCCACTTTATGTGACTCAATTTAGAGTGCGCTGGGTCAAATTATCTAACACTTTCGGACTGGGTTTGAGCAAAGAATCTTCAAAACAAAAAGAAAGTTTACATATTCAGAAATTATATAAAAAGTACTCTAAGTCGGACTAATTAATAATTAAAAATATTTAAAATTTATTTGAAAAAATTGCGGTCAAAGAAAAATTCATTTGGCTCTCCAAATAATAACGGTGTATTTGTGTCATGTAAAGGGGGACAAAGAGAATATTAAATATACTTACTTGCAATTACATAACAAATGACCTAATTGAATATATATACTTTTATACAATTAGAACTTAAACTTTAAAATTCTTACTTGTTCCGATAATAGTCAAACTAAGACCTTTCCTTCTATGCGATAGCCCAGAGTTCGTTGACCTATCGAAAGTAAGCTGTAATATGGTATAGTTACAAATGTACCGAGCTACAAGAATGAATATAAAGAAAGTATACATTTACTACCAAATAGTGATCCGCCCAATCGCTTAAATAAAAAGTAGTCTGGTGAAGGTATAATATATGCGTAATTTCTATATTATATGTGTATAATTATTTATGATTTATGTATATGACTAAAAAAAGTAAACAATAAATATGGCCGGCTATTTATATAAAAATCCCAACACTCCAACTTGCTAGCTTGTGATTAACATGTAATGGATAAGTTGATTACTGATATACAATCCACTTTAATGCATTTTTTTTTCAAATCATTTTACAGGGCAGGGTCAAGCACTTTGGATGTTTCAAATTGTGAAGTTTGACCCACCCACTCTCTTCTCTAACCCAATATCTACGCACTAAAGAAGATGTATAAATAATGTAATTATTGCATGACCATCCCTAAGGAAGCACCATGATTCTTACACATTGTTTGAATTGTTGTTACAAAGTCGTTCAATAATGTATATTATATTGCATTGTTTGATGAATACAATGTCTGGATAGATTGTATTGTTTGCCGTTATTTTATAATGTCGTACACCAACGATATAAAGAATAAACTTGTAACATTACTAAGAAAAAATAAGATACGGAGTAAAATTATTATATAAAAAGTAGGGTAAAGGATAAAATATGATTATTTAATAATAAGGACAAAATGAGAGGAAAAAAATAAGGTAACGACTCCACCACACCAAATCCGTTAAAGTGACACTTTTCGTCGTTACGTAACAATGGATTTAACGATATGATACAATAAAATTTAAGTAACATGCAAAACAAACATTATAAAAGTAACAACACGATATAATACGATAGGTAACAACCATCCAAATTAACCGAAGCTTCTTCTTTGCTTTGGGTTTAGCTACAGAATCTTAGAATACTTTTCTAACCATACGCTTTTGTATGATAAGTCAACAACTATTGTTTTAAAAGAGAATATTAAAATTTAAACAGAGAATTATATGGTATTGATGTTTGGCTATAATTTTATATTTTTAATACATTACTTACTTTATATTTTAGGTGCTTTAATGCTAAACTATACTATATTTGTGCTTAATTGAGTCTATTTTATGTGTAGGTACATTGGAGATGAAATTGGAGCAAAGTGAATATTTGAAGTGTAAATCATGCTCGAAAATAATAGGAAAAAAGAAAGAAAGAATTGAGCAGAGGGAAAATGAAGCAGCAGGCGAAGCAAGCCCAGTGGCTCGCGTTAGAGCAGGCGAGGCGAGCTCTTTAGCTCGCGTAGAAGCGCGCGATGCAAGGGTTATGACGAGATAGAAGCGCGCGGCAGGACTTGCACCGCACAGTCTGAGGCGAGGTGAAGCTCGTGTTTTGTCTCGCGAGGCGAGGTCCATAGCGAGCCTGATCCGGATTTTAAAAGCCTATTTCGTCTCTTTGTTGGATTTGGACCTGGGCTATGTCGTTTAGGTCTTTTCCTACACATATAAATAGTCATTAAACACCACTTTCGAGAGAGTTTTACGACCGGAGTCAAGAATAGCTCGTGGGACAACTTTTGATGGAAAGAATCATCGAGTTCTACATTCCTTCATCTTTTCTTTGTAATTTATTCATGCAAAATACTTGAAAATTTGTTACTATGAATATGAGTAGCTAAACTTCTAATCTAAGGTTTTGATGGAACCTATTGGAGGATGATTTTCCTATTACGTTTAATATAGAGTTGCCGTAGCTTTTTCTCTATTTGTTCAACTACGTTTATATTGTGGTTGATTGAAGAGCTCTCAATCGACGGTGCCTACTTAGTATGTATTGCTTGGAAGAGAATGCATATTTAGGTAGTTGTTGAACAACATCACTCTTAACATATGTGAGGGATCAATACGGAGAGTTTACAGGTGGGATTAGGAATAACGAATCCTTGGTGCGATCTAAGTGAGTCGTGACTTAGTGCTAGCTAGCGTAGTTCAGATGAATATGTCTAGTAAATTGTGATAGTTACTCGGAAGAGAATTACGACACTCAAAGTGCTCATGATCGGTAGAGAAAATTTAGGCAAATTTATAGGAAACGTGGCGGAAAGGATTCCGACAATAGGGGAAATCATAACCTTAGATCATTCCAAATCTTGTCTACAACCTGTTCGTCGTTAGTTATTAATTATTGCTGTTTCATTACTTGATCTTTAGTTAGTAAACATACAATTTGTTATTTAGTATTTCTGAAGATTGATTGAGTAAATTTGTGTGAGTCTAGTAGATATGCTTACTACGTTAATTCCCTATGGGATTCGACTCCGGGCTTGTTAACCGGATTATATTTGCAACGACCGCTTAGTTCTTTTTACAAGGCATAGTTGGGCGTGATCAAATTTTGGCGTCGTTGCCGAGGAATTAATGGTGTTATTAATTGTAGCTAAAAGAAGTACTAGAATTCTTAGTGTAATCAATGTTCTTCATTTTAAACTAAATACATTAAAATTCTAATGTTTGTAGTCTTGGGTGTTACAGGTACATGCCTGTCACGACCCAAAATCTCACATGCCGTGATGGCGCCTATCTCAATACTAGGCAAGCCGATAATCTCAACAAACCACCCTATCTTTTAAATTTCAAAACATAATTATTAAATTCAGCGGAAAAAATCTTACGGACACAAAATATAAACACTCCCAAAACCCGGTGTCACTGAGTACATGAGCAACTAATATGAATACAAAGTCTGATGGATAAAAATTACTGTCTGAAAATATAGAATAGTACAATAATTAAACAGGAAAGGAATCAAGTCTGCGGACGTCAAGCAGCTACCTTGATAGTCCCCAACAGAATTAACTTTGAAATCTAGCAGTCGACGTATCCGAGAGCACCTGGATCTGCACACGAGGTGCAGAGTGTAGTATGAGTAAAGCTAACTCAATAAGTAACAAGACTAACCTGTGGGACGAAAGAAATTACGAGCTCCATAAGTACAATTCAGTATATATAATGGTACAAAAATGTAGGCATGCTTTCAGGTTCAACAGTCAAACTCAGTAGAAATACCTCATGTAAATACTAGTCACAAATGATTCGGTCACTCGGTACTATTTATGGCCAATCCAGCCCAGGGGTGTTCCAACCCGTATATATATACACATCGATTGACCGTCAGTCACTCAGTACCGGATAAGGCCAATCCAGCCCTAGAGTAATTTATCCCCAAATATAAATGATACGGACAAGATTCATGTCCAGGAAAACTCGTTACAATATAAATAAGTAAGGCTAGTCCATGCCTTGGGAAATCCATCCCGAATATACATAATCATCTATGCTCACTGGGGGTGTGTACAGACTCTGGAGGGGCTCCTTCAGCCCAAGCGTAATACAAAGCCAATATGGCCTACTGCAGGCGGGCAGTCCTAATCCATATAATAATAAAGCCTATAAGGCCTGCTGCAGGCGGGCAGCCCCGATCCATATAATAATAAAGCCTATAAGGCCTGCTGCAGGCGGGCAGCCCCGATCCATATAATAATAATGAATAAAGATATTCTGGCCTTCTGCAGGCGGGCGCTCCGATCCATTTAATGATAATATATATAAAGCCAATATGTCCTGCTGCGGCGCGCAGCTCGATCCCATAAATATCCTCATAATGGACGAATATGACTGAGTGTGAAATGTATATTTTTGAAACAATTAATTCCATAGCAACATGACCCCATGGGTCCCAAAATATTGGCACATAGCCTAAACATGATATTTAATAAAAGCATCGGCTCAATTTCTCTAACACGTGTAACATGTTCAGAAAATAACATGATTCTTTAATTTTTACAACTTCACAGGATTTATTCAAGTCACAAATTTCTATGGTACACGTCCACATGCCCGTCACCTATCGTGTGTGTCACCTCCAAATAACTTATATCATACCATATTCGGGGATTCATACCCTCAGAACCAAGTTTAGAAGTGTTACTTACCTCAAACCGTGTAATTTCTCACTCCGCTATGCTTTTG